AATATGTATATATATATATATATATATTTACATATATATATTTATAGTTATTCATTTATATATTTTTTATTTATATTTAATTAAGTATTTTTATATTAATATAATTTATTTAATTAACTAATATTTATTTTATTTCATTTTTAAATCTAAAAATATTATTATATCTAATTTATTAATTCTATAGGTAAAATTGGATTTATTTTATACTTTTTTATTTTTTATATAATTATTTTATTTAAAAATAATTACATTTATATCATTATTATTTTAAAAAAATAGATATTCTTCAAAAAATTTTATTAAAGTAAAAAAATCCGATAATTATTCTGGATAATTCTTTATTTATTCCTTTGAAGCAATATAAAAATTAAGAGAAGATTTTACGTAATAACTAATTAATCCTTTATAAATACTCTATAAAAATTTATTAATATTTATTATATAAAATAAAATAATAAAGTTATAACATATTTATTTATGATTTATATTTTTTTATTTTAAATTTTCAAAATTATTTTTAAAAAATAATAATAGTAATTTAAAAATTAAAAAGTAATATATAATAATTACATCATATTCTTTATTAAATTAATGCATAAAAACAATTATTCCACAAATTAAGTAATTTGGTTCTAATGAAAATTTATCAGATCTTTTAACTAAACATTTTAACTATTTATCATAATCAACATTTTAAATCTAAAAAAAATATTCAAAAAAAAAAATGTTTTTTATAAAAATATATAATTTTAAAGTTTTTTATAATAAAAATTTTATAAAATAGAATTAAAAAATAGAAATATAAAAATAATAAATATATATTTAAATATATTATAAATATATTTAATAATTATAATATATATAAATATATTTATATATTAATATATATTTTTTTTTACTATATTTAAAGTCAATGCAAATATGATTAATGATATTCCTTCAAACGGCTCAGTAGTACAATATATTTTTTTAATAGGATCACTTAGACCTACAAAATTAAAAAGTTTTGTAGTTTCATATAGAAGTTTATTTTCCTTAATTCAAATAAAATTATATATAAAATATTAGGTTTACTTTTTATTATATATCATTTCTATTCATAATTTCTGTATATTATCTATTTGTTAAATCATTAATAATTGAGTCATTTAATGTATTTAAAGCTTCAAATAATCTAGTTGATCCGACTCTAGAGATAACTTATAGTTATAAACATATTATTTTTCTTAAAAGAATCATTTAACCAATTTATTATATTGGATCTGTAATCATTTACGAAAGATTTTTGAAACTTTTTGTTTAAAAAATAATAAAATAAATATTTATAAATTTAAAATTTACTTTTTTTTAATTATTATTATATTTTAATAATATTTATCACTAAAAGAATTTAAATCTTTTATTAAATTAAATATTTCTAGCATTTATGTTCTATTTTTTTAAATGAATATAGTAAATAAATATATTTATAAATGCTTATTTATATTAAAATTATCTACTTTAATTCATTTCCTATTTATTTTTTTATTTTTCTAATTAAAGTTGTAATAGATGAAGCTATCATAAAAGATAATAATTAATCTAGTCCATTTAAACCACTAATACCAATACATTTATATAACATATCTATAAATATAAATTTAATATAAATGAATAAATTTATTTATAAATTAATTAAAAACTCATTATTTTAAGATTAAGCATTTCTTATCCTTTAGGAAATGAATAAAATGCAATATTTTAATGGACATATACTGTATTTTTGAAATCTGTTAACTTCATAATTTCATTAAGTATTCTTCCCATAAAATTTACAGAACTTAAATAATATTAATAAGGGTTAAATAAAAAATAAAAAATTTATTATATAAATAAATTTAAATATATATATAAAAAAATAAATATAAATTTATATTTATATATATACTTATTATTTTCCATATTTTATCTATCAGGCATAGGTATATTATCATCATAAAGAAGTTCTTCGTAATCAAGTTTTTTAGTAATAAATGCTATTTATTCCATATCAATATAAGATATAATCAATCTCTCAAATTCTTCATGAAATATTCTTAAGCCATAATTTCCAATAAAATCTTATATATATTCTAGAGATTTTTTAAAACCTTATAAATAATACTATAATTAAAATAAAGTATTCAAAAATTTGTTAATGTCTCCCTATATTTATATTTATTTTTTATATAAATATATATATATATATATATATATATATATTATTAATATTAATATTTATACATTATTAAACATTAATCTTTAATCTAATTATTTTGCAATTAATTTTAATAATTCCTTTCTTATTCCATCATCTAAAATTTACTTTGGATTTACTTCAATAACACCAATTAAATATTTTTCCATACTTAATATACTTTCTGTAAAAAGACTAATTTAATAAATACATTAATAAATTTATGCACTATCTTCTTATTAAATATAATCTTTTAATTATTCTTTTTTAATTTTTGGTGGTAAA